TATGTTATAAAACAAATGGTAAACGCCATAGCGTGCACTATTGAGTTATGGATGCACTCGGGAGGTTTGCTAAGCACTCAAGAGGCTAGAGTCGCACGAGGCTATCGCCTCGTGCGACTCTTACGCTTCTTTCGTGCTTAGCAACCTCCAGCGTGCATCCATAACTCAATAGTGCACGCTATGGCGTTTACCATTTGTTAATTAGTTTTACTTCTGGTTGGACGAAAAAGTGGCGCGAATTTTTTAAGCCAATCGTAAAGCGTAGCAATGCAAAATCAATTACTTTTCCACACTCAAGTGAAAACCGCTCTAAAACAGTTGTACGTGTTGCTTGAACAGAAGTGATTGATTCACTGAAAGCTGTTGATTAATAGTAGGCAGTTACCGCGTGCTGTTGTGTTGTAAATCCACGAATCTGATTGGCTCAGTCATCGTCGATTATTCGCTGATAGACCACGATTATGAGCGCGTTAGTCTCAAAAGGAAAACAACAAAGAAACTTACACAAAGATGGATTTATCGTTGCTCATTTTGCCGTCTTTAAAAATGTCGTTAAGGCTCCGCCTGATCACCTTTACAGCATTGTTCCTGCATAAAGAGAAAAACGTACAAAAGCAATAGAAAAAAGAAACTCAGAGACAAGAAAAGAATCCGATAATTAGAAGCTTTTGTTCTCAAGTGAGGGCATTGCAGGGACAAGAATTAGGGCAACTAAACCTCTATCAAATTAACGCGCGTTTTGTCAGAATATATTCTGATAAAACCGGGGAGATATTCAGCGTGTCCATATCTGACAATGGTTGGACTTATTATTATATCTAAAAGCAATTGTTAATCCTTTGCATGTGTGTTATTGAATGAACAGAATTAAGTGTTTACCTCTCATGAATACGGTATTCCAGCAGCCTTTGGTCATAAACATTAATCTCGTCAGGCTGAACAACGAACATGATGACAGCACTAAAAACAAAACGTTAACAAGGCTGTTACCTACACAAACTAAACAAACAAACAAACAAACAAAGTGAAACAAGTGAACAATAAGAAACTGCCCTAACCTGTCTGATCCATATAGTTCCCAGGCCCTAATGAGAGCATCAGCTGCTTCATCTAATGCGGGATTTGGAGGTACCTTGAGAAAGCACACACCACAAATCATTAACTTAGACTGAAAAGATACTTAACTAAGTGCAACAGACTAAGAGATTAAGTTTTGGCCTAAACAAATAGTCTTGGGAAATATTCTTAACACGGCGATAATCCAGAAAGGACTGGGAGCCTGAGAATCACGAACCTTCACGGGCATGATGTCGTTCAATTTGCAGCCTTTTCTTCTTCGTTTTGACGTCTTTTATAATTTCCTTGCAGGGAATGTGACCAACATACTCTAGAAATTTTCTACATCACTGTACCTTGTTCTCTCGTCCCATCGAATGTAAAAGATATCTGGAATGTGAAGGAGGAAAAATGTGTCATGAGTAAAGCATCTCTAGCTAAAGATAACCAAGTAAGTTAGTAAAAATGAACTTTAACGTTTAAAACCATATGTAAAGTCTTTCTGGTTAGGACTCTAAAGGGAGAGAGTGCAGTAAAATGTTAACAATCTGTAAAGGGTTAGCGATAAAAGAAAATAACTTTGACTGTTAGACAGTTTACACGTCAATTACCTGTGCATGTCAGGAACAAGACAGGAAAACGAGATTCCACCAATTGATATGGTGTTCATTTCAACCTGCTTGATGCTACTATAACTGCAAAACTGATGTTGTAACCAGCCTGTGGTTTCAATCAAGTAGTCAGACCGGAAAATTCCTAATGAGACTGACTGAAAGAAAAAATAAAACAGAACTCACTTGTTTATTTTGGCGAAAACCTAAGCCCAGTAAACCGCTGGAAACACGCCAAGAGACCTAAATCTTAGAAAGTTCTTGTCGGAAAAAAGCACAAATGTTTGCCAATCGGAAAAGGTGAACCTCTCGGAAACTTCGCCATAAGAAATCAACAGATTTCAAAACATAAAAATTTTCTGCATCGTAAAATCATTTAACTTAAACCCTACATTATAAAGTAAACTTTAATATAAATGACGTCAAGATAACCGCTGACAGGCAGTTTGCTCAGTGTCAGTAATTTATGTTTTTTCATTTCGCTCCAAAAACTTACGTAAAAAAGAACGCCGAAACCCGTTATTAAAGGAGTGATGGGTGGAAGATCGTTGCCGTCAAGAAGGCGGGCCTGAGGCGCCGGGGATGGGGTGGGGCTGGGAGCTTGATGGTACTAACCTGAGCATTTCCTTGTTCCCAGACCTTCTCATAAATGTCAAAGAGTCTTGATGTAAAGGGATCAGCAGCCACTGTGCTAAATGATGGATATTAAAAGAAAAGAACAAAAGTGAATAAAAGAAACTGATAATAATAATCTTCTTTAGCTCAGAAATGTGATCAACAATGTAAAAAAAACGAGCTTTTAATACTGGTAAATTGTAGTGAAGGTAGATGATTATTAGTAAGTTTGTTATACCAGCTACGCCGCCGATTTCAACTTGAATTCTGCTGCAGAAAAACAACGGTTCATGATACAACTTGAATGAAGAACTGCATGGGCAAACATAAATGTAAAATGATTGAATACAATGTAGTTAGTTTACCTTTCGAAGAAAATTGGCCAATTGACGTGAAGAGTAAAAAAAAGTGACGGGGATTGTCGATATACAAATTGCCCCCGCAGAACCAATAAACGAACAAGAAATTTGACGTGGTTTAGTGAGAAATCAGGGTTTTATTAGTACCACTTGTAACTGGGCCTTTTTTCAGTCAAAAATAATAGTAGTGAGTGACAATAATCGATATTCCTCTTTTTCTTTCTTATTACATTTTGACGTCATCTGTGATCTATTAAGCAATTACATTATGATTTCGAGATTTCTATCGCGTGATAGTTGACGAGGCCTCAGCCCAAGTCAACTATCACCTATAGTAATCGAGAGCAAATAATCAAATTGTTTTAGTATAAATCTACGAGTCGTTCAAAACTTAAACTAAATCCTTTTCACAGACACTTCGAAAACGCCAAGAAGTGGCCGTCATTTTGTTTGTAAGGGCACACTGCTACGCTACTCACTATTTATCACAGAATAGATACTGAGTAGCGTAGCCAATCAGAGAACGGCATTCGTGATAGAACGCTAGTAGGTTTATACCAATACTGAACAGACGCCCGGCAACAATGAACTTATTTGTTGAGTAGATCCCCCAAAACCGATCAGCAAACGAAACAATTTACAGCATTATTAAATATAAGTGTTAAGCCGCCGTCCACAGTACGTGATTTCATAGTAAAGTTTAAGAAAACCGAGTCGTTTCTGTCGTATACCACGAGAGCAATAAAAGTTCATCAGTTGAGGAATCAGTTGTTGTGGCGACAACTGTCTTAAAATAAAAACGAGAAACGAACGAGGAAGAGGAAGAAAAGAAGAAGCGTTCCTATAGCAATATTTATATTGCTGGATATGGTCGGAGAATAATACGTATTGATATTTTGATTTGAAGAGCTGATTAAAGCTAAGTAGCCATTTTTATTGAAGAGATAGAACCAATGGAAACAGACTAAGGGCCAAGTAAAACTGACGATGTCTCTTCAAAGTGCCCTATCTTACCGTCTCAACAAACACGCACCATTGATCGAGCCTATAAATAACGTTTTCTGCCTACAAAGATTTTCCTCTGTAACATCTCATGACAGAACGTACAATACCTCAAAAGCGCGTTCTTTGTAAATTCGTAGTCCCGGCTCACTTTGTGTACAAGTAAGTTAAAATCTGTCTGCACCTCTTTTGCATCTGCGAAAAGCTTCAGTGGAATGGGTGATGGATACAGAGTGAAGGGAATGTGTTGTGTTTCTCCTTTAGAGTCTTTATAAACCATTCCGTGTGCCATGCAGTAATCCTTGCCTTCTTTCTCAAGATATTTTACTTCATCTTGTGTAACCTCATTGTCGCTAACATGTGACAGACGGGCCGTCATTTTGTTACTTGATTCATGAATCCCTTGAAATATTATAGGAAATCTGAAATACAAAAACACCATTAAGTTTCAACGCTTTACATACAGTTGAACGACTACCCGGCTTGGCTCCGAAAGGTAAAATGTCTGTGTGAATGCAAAACTTGGTGTACGGTTGACTGTCAATTCCAAGCCCGCTTATTCCCCCGTGAGGACGGCATTTGCCCCATGGTGGGGCTAGCTTATTTGTACAAATTACCTCAGTAGAGCTTGGAGAAGAATACAAATGCCCGACCCACGGGACAAAGTCAAAATCAGTAGGGATTTTCCAATGTCATTTTTTGGAAGCAATGCACGTTAAAGTAACAAAACGTGCAGCGGTTATCATATCAATCAGATGTGCGCGACCTTTAGCGTTAAATGTCTGGACAAAAAAAATTGAGTTTTGGTGGACTCTACGCCTCATTTTTCTCTGCTGAAAGCGATTTATAATCACAATTCAAAGGCGAGATGGGTCTCTATTGATTTTTAATGTACACAGAGATTGATCTTTCTTTGCAAAGAACGTTATCAATCCTCTCCTTTGTGATACCGAGAGAGAGAAGGCCTTTAGCATGGGAAGCGTTAAGGCAGCACAATATAGGCTAAAAGGGACCAAAAAGTTTGTTTAAATATGGTGAAGAAAGATCAATCGTGTGCGATTGCATTCATGAAGAGAAAATACATTTTGAACGTTTTACTCAACATGGTTGCTATGGCAACCAGCCACACCCTTTTGAGGTTTTATTTTGCAGCATTGACGCCTAAAGTTTCTTCTCTTATGCAAAACAATATCTAACTTTCAAACAAGTATATCTTGTAAGTTTCTGTTTCGTCCTGTTCAATAAACTTAAGTTTTGACAGTTAACTCTTGTTCTCATTGTTTTTTACAGGCTTTATTCGGAAATAACCTTTTTTTGCACTAGAGCCAGTGGAGAAATTATCCGGTGTCACGTGACAGACGTTAAAATGTTATAATTTTCTTAGTTTATTGCATCACGACACTATTGGTCTTTAATTACGCCACGTTTCGGGAATTTCTCTTAAATACTTTAGAAATGCTGTCGTGAAGTCATTTCGTACAAAAGAAGACGTTTGAGAAAAATGCACTTAAAGTTTCTTACACGATAGATTAAGCATTTAACAAGCCAAAAATTGCGGGGGTGCATGCTGGATCTCGGTAGGGGGCCGGGGGGAGTGGAATTGTTGTTCTATTTGTAAAAAGGTTCCGCAGTTGTTCCTTTTCATAAAGGATTGTTTTGTTTTGTATATTTAATCTTGTACCAAGTTTGTGATACTTATGTGTACCAATGTATTTGTTG